AAATAAAGAAATCGAAACTGAAATGATATGATCATACAAAGAACGAGATTCACGTAAGAAAGCATGAAATGTTAACCATACAAAGTATAAGAGACGTAGAAGTAGATCAAATCCTTTTTACAATAGTTGATCAGACATAAAATGACGCATTTCCAGTAACACAACATATTTTTAACTAAATTAAAACAAAATACAAATATAAAAGATCACGACAGAAGAATAGTATATAGTTACATACTATCCCTAATATAAATACTCATCATTCATTTGTTATTTTCGTTCAAATCCCATTTTTTAACGATTCTCCAGTATAGCCTACACAAACTTTATTTTTACCGTTACGTATATCTTAACTATATCAAAATTCCGTTTAACATCATTTTTGATATCACAACAGATAATTTGAGACGGAGAAAAATTGAGTTGCACCCACAACTTCCAGGATACATCCAAAAGAAAAATATAATTTCAATCATCCCCACGAGGAAGTTAAATCAAACGTGGTCCTCCTCCTTCATCTCACCCCTACCGCGTAGTCCACAACACGGCCTGTTGACCTACACTCTTCACTTCACTCTCACACAACATATATATAGAGCCGCCAATTCCAAAAATTAACAACAACCCACATCAAGATTCATCAATTTAACTTCAATTTCACAAAAGAAAATTTAAAATTTGATTAAAAATGGTGAAACCCAATTCGAAAGATACTGAATTTTCACAGTCGTCATCGTCGTCGTTGTATCGGGGAGTACGGAAGAGGAAATGGGGGAAATGGGTATCGGAAATTAGATTACCTAATAGTAGAGAAAGGATTTGGTTGGGTTCTTATGATACGCCGGAAAAAGCTGCTAAAGCATTTGACGCCGCACTTTTTTGTTTGCGGGGTAAAGGGGCTAATTTCAATTTCCCGGAAAATCCGCCGGAGATTAGGAACGGAAGGACGATGACTCCGTCGGAGATTCAATCGGCGGCGGCGCAGTTTGCGAATAATACAGAACCCGAACTTATCCGGGTCGGGCCAAGGGAGAATTCGGATCTTTCTTCTTCCTCATCGGAAATATTTCGAGCGGAATCACCGTCGGTGTCAGTTTCCGATAGAGTAGAAAGTGAAAAGACGGAAATAACCTTGGGTAACGATTTTATCGATGTGTATCGGGTGGAGTCTAGAGTGGAAAGTGAAAAGACGGAAATGTCCTTGGATAACGGATTTGTTGACATGTTTTCGTCGTTAGGAACGGTTAATGATATGTCTGATTTTGGAATTTTTCCGGGGTTCGATGACTTATCGGGTGAATTTTTTATACCACCACCATCGTCACCACAACCATCACCACTGCAAATGCCTAATTTGGAATCATTAGAAGAAGAGAATTATTTGAACTATGATGGATTTCAATCACAGGGGACTTCATTTCTTTGGAATTTTTGAAGGATATAAAAATGTTACATTATATTCATTAATGGTTAATAATATAAGTTTATAAAATTAGAAATAGTACTAAAAATTAGTATTAAGTAGGATTAAGAGAACTTATTTGAATTTTAAAACTTCATTTGATGATTTTGTAGACAATTCTAGACATTTTTTTTGGTTGCTAGAATTGTTACAACATATGTGATTTGTACACATAATAAAGAGAATGTATTTTTTGACTAATCGATATGAAAATCACTTTATTTTAGTCCGAAAGAGAAATTTACTTTATTATTAAAGTGAAATTTATTGATTGACTAGGATAAAAAAAAATTAATTAAAAATATTTTTAAACTATATCCTCAAATTATGTTTTTAGCAGAAAATTTCTCTATTATTTAAAATCTGACTATTTTCAACATTTTATTAAAGATTAACAAAAATTTTCACAAAAATACACACGGTTTACGCTACTCTCAATAAAGCTCTTTAAATCCCTCAATAAATCAATTTTGTCTATTTTACATACATATAATATAAAATATTGTGAATTTTTAGCAACAATATTTTGCATCGTCTTTCTTTTAATTAACAATTATATTTTATTTACTTTTCATTTGATTTTACATAAAAAAAAATTATCAATTGATATATTTTCTTCTTATTGAATCTGCAGAAAATGGTGTCGATCAGAAACTTTTACTTCTAATAATGAAAAATAAAATTGGAGTACTAGAGATCAAAATTAGTTGAATCTTGATTACCTTAACTATCAGTTTGCCCCAAAAAATTATTAATCTAACAACAAGTGATTTTGTAAGGTGAAAACGGTGTAAAATTAAGCTTCAACTTCATCCAACTAGTAAAGAAGAAAAGTAAATCATGTCTCCTCGTAGACTCACACTCTCCTAACATTTATTTATTTTTAACAGCAAACAAGCGTGTCAAAAAAATTTTAATTTTTGAAAGCTTATTCCGACAAGTAATAAAATTGCAGAATTTGAAAGCTTTCTCCCGACAAGTAATAAAATTATATGTTTATTTTTTGCAAAATACTTGAGCAAAAATTAAAGCTTTTTTTAGTTTTTAGAGTGCTCTTGGTTCTTGATGGATGAGTAGGTAAAAGGTAAAACGAAATATTTTTGTATTAAAGTGAAGTTACAATATTCTCCATTTTTTTTTTGATAAAAATTTTTGAGCAAATATATGAATCTTGAAAAGGTTAGAGTTTTTTTCTTCAATTTCTTGGTTATATGCACACGCACGCATGTGTGCGCACATATCCACAAATTTTAAAAGATTTTTGGATAGAAAATATAATAATTTTCACCTCATTTAATATAGAGATCTTTTTTTTATTAATTGAGAAATGAAATAATGTTTAGTTAATTACAACTTCTATTTTTATGTGGTTATGTATTTTGTTGCCTCACTTATATTATGATTATTATCATGAATCAAATTTTAAAAGACAAATAATAATTCATCAAAAGTAATCATATTAATACTATCATAATAACGCGACAAAATGAATGAAATTAATTCACTTTTAACTGAATATTTCAGTTTCGACTCATTCACATAGCGAAACCTTTTTTATTTTATTTTATAAATCCGTTGCCACTATTCTTTCTAAGAACACAAGCTAAATCTCTAGCCACTAGATAAACCCGCACATTGCACGCAAGATAAATTATACTAGGCAAATTTCATACATCAAGCTCAATCAAGAAAACACCGAAATCCTCTATCCCTACTGAAATATCATCATACTCAATCAACACACCCATGCTCGTCAGTCTTTCAGAGTAAGTTGCATTTATTTTAAAACAGTAAATTTTACAAGACGTAAATTTGAATTAATTGAATCCATCAAAATTGAATATCATATTATTTTTTAATTCATATAATTTTACAAGACAAAGAATAATTGACAAAAATTAATCATATTAATACCACCATAACAACGCGACAAAAAGAATGAATTAATTCACTTTTGACTAAATATTTCAGACTCCTTTAAACATTTAATTTTTATTTTATGAATTCGTCAACGCTATCTTCCTTAGCATGCAAGGTAAATCTCACTCCACTTATAAATTTGCACATTGCACTCAAGGTAAACCACACTAAGCAAATTTTATACAATAAGCACAATCAAGAAAACACTGTTATCTCCGTCCCCAATAAACTATCACCATCCTCAATCAATTCATCAAAGTCAAATATCATATAATTTTTTAATTCATATAATTTTAAAAGACAAAATAATTGACTAAAAAGTAATCATTTTAATATCACCATAGCAACGCAATAAAATAAATGAAATTAATTCACTTTTGACTAAATATTCAGTTTTGACTCATTTAAACATATAATTTTAAAAGACAAATAATAATTGATCAAAAGTAATCATATTAATACCACCACAACAACGCGACAAAGAATGAAATTAATTTCATTTTGACTAAATTTTTCAGTTTCAATTCATTTAAATTGATAGATCTTTTCAATTTTTATTTTATATAACCGTCATCACTGTTCCTAAGCACACAAGGTAAATTTCACTGCACTATATAAACACGCACGTTGCACGCAAGTTAAATCGCACTAAGTAAATCTCGTACAACAATCTCAATCACGAAAACGCTTCAGTCTATCACCATGCTCAATCAACTCGTCCAGGCTCACCAGTCCTTTAGAGTAAGTTGCATTTCTTGCTACAACAGTAGATTTTACAAGACTTAATTTTGAAATAATTGAATCCGTCAAAGTTGAATATCATATAATTTTAAAAGACAGAGAATCCATGAGTAGTCATATTATAACCACCATAACAATGTGACAAAATAAATTAAGTTTTTTCACCTTTGACCTAATGTTTTTCAGTTTCAGTTCATTTAAAAAGAGGAGACTTTTTTTTTATTTTAATTTTATAAATTCGCCGGCACTATTCTTCCTATAAGGTATATCTCCACTATATAAATCTGCCATTGCACGCAGAGTAAATCGCACTAAACAAATCTCATACAACAAGCTCAATCGAGAAACCATTACTATCTCCATCCCCACTGAACTATCACCATGCTCAATCAACTCTCTCAGGTTTATCACTCCTTCAGAGTAAGTTGTATTTCTTTCTATACTAGACGTAAATTTAAATTAATTGAATTCGTGAAAGTCGAATACCGTATCTATCTCCATCTCCACTGAACTATCATCATGCTCAATCAACTCGCTCAGGTTTATCACTCCTTCAGAGTAAGTTGTATTTTCTTTCTATACAAGACGTAAATTTAAATTAATTGAATCCGTGAAAATCAAATACCGTATAATTATTTTTACAGAAAAAAGTAATATTATTTTTAATATTTTTATTTTATTTTTTTTAAACTCCAATAAAATGATCTAACATCATACCAAGTGGGGCACATAAACACCATCTCTCTCTTTCATTTCAATCTTCTATTTTGCTGTACTCTTCCCTCTTCTTTGAGGGGTTTTCTTTTCTTCTTTTTTTTTTTTTCCAATTTTTTTTCTTTGATTTTTCTTGATTTCAATCAAAACCCTAATTACCCTTTCAATTTTGTTATCTTTTTTTATTTTTTTTCAATTTAAAGTTTGCATTTTTTTTTTTTTTGGTTGAAGATGATGCAACAGCAAAGGCTGAAACAACAGCAAGGATTGATGCAACAATCCCTTTATCATCCTGGTCTCATAGCATCCCCTCAGGTAAATTTTCCATTTTTGCCTTTTCAAAGTTTTCATTTTTTTTTTCCTTTTTTGCAATTTCATGTTTTGGTTTTAGTTGCTATTAGCTACTTAGCATTGTTGTTTTTGTTTGTGCTATGGTTATCCCATTATTTTTGTTGTTGTTGTTGTTACTGTTTTTGGTTATGTATGTGTTTTGTTTTTCATTTTGCATTGTTTTGGTGTTGTTATGCTTTCATTTCTGTATTCCCTTTTCTCAAATTTGCTTATTATAAGCTGAGCATTTATTGAAGCAACTTCTCTATGTGTTTTGAGTATCGGTCTAGGCGGTTAGGAAGGCTTGCTAGGCCAGTAACCGGACCAAAGAATGAATGTGTAATGATAGTGTTTTCACACCATGCTTAATAAATAATTGAATGTAGAAAGGGGATTGTACACTGAAGAAAAGTAGTCCATGGCCCTCTTTTAGAGTGTATAATGGGAGGTTGAATGTCAAACTGGTTCTCTCGAGTATACCCATTATCAAAAAATATACGTCACTTTGGGACACATGTGCATAGCCGCTGCGTGTGGCTAAAAGTCAACCAAAATCTGCATACTCACTATCTTTTGTGGGATTACATCCAGTTGGTTGTTACTGTTGTTTGTTTGTTTACGTAGGAGTTTGTGATTCTGGGTCATTTTTCATTGTTTCTTAGTTTGTTTGGCAGTTTCTCTTTGTTTATTCTTTCAAAGATTCATTTTTATCTATTATTCAAGGAGGTATTTGTCATCTGTAGGTATTGACCTCTATATATGTATCGGATTTTATATGTCCTCTTTTCGAAATGAATTTGTATGAAGTACTACTAAGCACTAGTTTTTCATACATGGCCAGCTGCTTTCACTTGTTCTAAAATCTGTTATGGCCATATGTGAAAGAGTAGTACTTTGTAGCATTTCATACAAATTCATTTTGTGTTAAAGGATTTTAATAGCATGCGGGGACATTACTGTGTCGTATGCCTTTAGTTTCTATTAACATTTTATCCATTGTTGATGTTTGGCTTTCGAAAAATTTAGGTGGTTATATCTCTGTTTGACATCTGGAGTTTCTATTCTCGTTGATACAAGTGGGGATAATCTGGTCTGGCTTCTAGTCATTAAAGGAGTAAAGTTGGAAGGCCACTGTTAGACTCCTCGGGTTGGGGGATGGGATACTGTTGTCATTTGAAAAGATTATCTTTTAGTTTTTGAAGTGTAGGATCCATACATGTTTAGATTTTCCTTTTCTTCTTTGTAGATGTAATTTCATGATTTCCTAAAATTATTTATTAAAAAACAAATTTTGTGAAATCCTTGGGATGGGGTATAGCAATTAACGGTCATTCTTATGTCCTTTCCTTCTTCCTTTCTCCCCCTCCAAATCTTTATGTAACTCGTATATGTGAAGAGTATTTTGTATGTTCACAATGCACACTGTCATTCTTTTATCGTACCCTAAATCACTGGTCATAAATTTTTACTCGACTGAATATTAGCATTTACTTCCTTTTTCACTGTCACTGACATTCTACTACTATTTTTTCATAGATAGAGCCCATCTTGAGTGGAAATCTGCCTCCTGGATTTGATTCAACTACTTGCAGGAGTGTGTGAGTGCCTTACACATTTTGTATTAATAATTATTTCTTGTCCAACTTTTTTGCAGTTATAACTTATAAGATACCTTTCTCGGCCTCATGGCCAAGATAAAGTGTAGTATATGTTCTTATCAGTCTTGAGGTTATAAGAGTGATAGTTTGAACTTTGAACAATCACGCGTCATGACTTACTTGCATTGGGAAATGATTAACTCGCTAATTACCCCTATGCTAGCTTATTTTATTCTTCTTAATTGTCTCGAATTACCTACGGAGTTTGAGGGGTTCAGTTTTATCCATGTAGTGAATAGCTCGGAATAAAATAAAGAAGGCCCGCTTCGTTTCAGAAGTCTTAAATGATTTGAGGCACAAAATCTGTCGTAGATGTGAACATGCCACCGAAGGGAAGACAGTGACCATGACTTGCCACTTGACATTCCCCAAAAAGAAGCCGAACACTAGCCTTTTCCCAATTAACCTATCAACTATTGGCGAAGCCTGAAGATGAAATTACAGCCTGATCATTTAATCATCGTTCCAAATTGCTGCTGCTTGGAAATAGAAAATGCCATTCTGGCAATCTACCCTTATGTGTGACAATATACTCATTTGTATCTCAATATTGATGCAAGCACCCACATACAAGTTGATAATTGTTCTTTTATCTATTCCTTCTATGAATTTTATTTCTAAAGCAAGCTGTTCTTATACTTGCATGAGGAATGGTTATTGTTGATATATGATAACCTGTTTGCTTTTGACATTATCAAATACAGGTATGTTGGAAACATCAGTTCTCAAGTCACGGAACAACTTCTTCAAGAGGTTTTCTCAAGTACCGGTCCCCTTGAGGGTTGTAAGCTTATAAGGAAGGACAAGGTATGATCTTGTTTTACTTGCTATAAAAATCTCACTCAACTACAATAGTACATTTGATCAATGTGATAGTTCTTTACCTCATCAAACATGTTATGTTTTTGTTATTTGGTATGTGTTATTTTATGGTACTTGTGCATTGGAGAAAGTCTAAATTGTGATGGGAGTTCAAAATTTACACATCACTTTTGAGCTCTTGTAGATGAAAGTATGACAGTCTGAATCCATTGTTGTTTTTCTTTTAACAAGTTATTCATCGCAATATTATTGGTCTTTTCCTTGATTTTCTGTTTCTGAGTTAACTTGTCTAGCCAGAACAAGGTAGATTGGGAAGGATGGGCAATAAACAAACCAAAACTGACCTAACTTGGCCTTGTAGCAGTCCTGTATTTCTTAGTATTGACTGTTGAATCTAGTTCAGAAGATATTTTTAAAGCGGAAAACATCATTGTTGGACTTGGATGTCTCGCAATTATTTTTAAAAAATTCAATCGTTAATTGTAATATATTATTAATTACATGCATTTTTTTGCAATTCAGGTTGCCCGTAGAATACTGATTCATAAATGTATAAACCAGTAGTTCATCTCATGTCTGAAAATGGTTTTAGATTATCCCTTTGGTTGTTGTGTGATTAGTAATTACTAGAGTGATAGATCGATGATGATTCTCTTAAAATGCAGTCGTCCTATGGGTTTGTGGATTATTTTGATCGCCAATCAGCTGCGCTTGCTATTGTGAGCCTCAATGGAAGGCAATTGTAAGAGCTTAAACAAAATATTTACTTCATAGTTCAATATTTGCTGCATGGTTTGGCTAACTTGTAAACTGCAGGTTTGGACAGTGTATAAAAGTTAACTGGGCTTATGCCAGTGCTAAAAGAGAGGACACATCAAGTACGTGTCTTACACACCTCCATTTTCGACCCTCTTAATTTTTTTATTATTTTGTCAAATACTAAAACTGTTACTTCTCACTTGCAGATCATTTTAGCATATTTGTTGGTGATCTTAGTCCGGAGGTTACAGATTCCACACTGTTTGCGTGCTTTTCAGTATACCCTAGCTGCTCGTACGTCCACTCTCTGTTTATTTTGTACTATACACGGTCTGCTGGCATTCATATTCTGAAAATGGATGATAATACACAATGCTACATTAATGTTTTTCTTGTAGAGATGCAAGAGTGATGTGGGATCAGAAAATAGGCCGGTCTAGAGGGTTTGGGTTTGTTTCCTTTCGTGATCAGCAGGTATTAAGCTAGCTAAATACTATCTTACGATCTTTGCTATTATTGCTCCTCTTTACAACCCCCCTAAACAAAAAAAATGAAAGTACTCGTTATGTTTGTTTTGTGCAGGAAGCCCAAAGTGCAATAGATGACTTGAATGGTAAGATCAAATGTTTGGTCTATACTCTATATCTTGCTTCGCCATTATATTTGTATGCCGATCTCTACAATTTCATCAGATTAAGACCACGATGTCAGTAGTCATTTCTTTTAACCATCCATATTCTATTGGAAAAATGCAGTTGGGTTTATTTATATTACTTACGTGATACGTCGGTTAGATGGTTGACATATATGTGAATTGGGAAAAATGTAGTTGTGCCAGTTCCCCAAAAAAATGCGGTGGTGCCTATTTATATTTCATATGTTGGTTTGATGGTAGATATATATGTGAAACCACGGTGAGTGAAGGTGTTATAAGGGACGAGGCAGTCTTAATGACTGAAGTCAAGAAGGGACGAAAGTTTTTCAGGGATCCATGTAGACTTAGCGAGAGATACAGTGAATTTTATTGAAGACGCCCCTGGTTTTATTTATTACATATTGAAACTTACGGTGCGGACAAAGTTATCCCGGTATTATAGTTCTGGGTTCACCTCCCAATTGGGATAATAAAATAACACCAAGTTTGAGGTATTAATTTTGTCCCCGGATTAGTTACACCTTCAACCAAAGTATAAATTTTATTACAAACTTAGTCTTGGGATATCCCACCTTATCCCATGAACCAAATGACCCCTAATAGTGTATTCTATCGAGGACTCCTATGGTTTTCTTTCTTTTATTGTTACCTAATTGAATTTTTTTGTTTATTAAAACAAAAGGAAAGTGGCTTGGAAGCCGACAAATCCGCTGCAACTGGGCAGCAAAAGGTGCTGGAGCCAGTAATGACAACCGGAGTTCAGATGCTAAAAGTGCTGTTGAGTTGACAACTGGAACATCAGGTGGGTTATGTTACATGCTTATTTTGGCTACTACTGCTTTTGTCTTCTCCGCATACTATTTCAACTTCTGATGGTTGAGAGTCTCTACTCATTTATATTTTAAAACATCTGTGTGTTTCCAGTGTTTTCCGTTTCAATTAGCTTCAGATTTCATGTAGGATCTTTGAGTGTAGACCAGAGCACGTGCCATATGATATGAATTCCATGCTAATATACATAAAAATCTTCTATCAAGCTAATGTGAGGTTATGAACTATAAATATGAAATGAAGTGTTTAGATATGCTTGATAGTCGGCCTATCCTTGTTTATTATGAGAACTTGTATTACGAATATCTTCATATCATCTATTTTTTCATATATGTAGATGATGGTCAACTGAAGGCCAACGAAGACGCTCCAGAAAATAATCCGCAGTACACAACTGTATATGTTGGCAACCTTGCTCCTGATGTAAGTACCGGTTGGGACAGGGGGAGTATCACTTCAGCTTTAGTCGGGAGGAATTTATTTGCGATTATTTAGAATATCTTCTTGTTCTGACATCCAGTTATGTTCCAGGTCACTACCATTGACCTCCATCGTTATTTTCATGCTCTTGGGGCTGGTGTTATTGCTGATGTCCGTATTCAGCGAGACAGAGGATTTGGCTTTGTACGATACAGCAATCATGCTGAAGCAGCTCGAGCAATTCAATTAGGAAATGCTCGAATCCTCTTTGGTAAACCTATTAAGGTACTATGTTATACCATGACATGAATTTTTCGGACGTTCATCAATATAATACGTCTAGCTACCTATTGAGGTACTGTGTCCATCTGCAGTGCTCATGGGGAAGCAAGCCAACTCCACCAGGAAGCAGCACGAACCCTCTACCACCTCCTGTTATCAGACAACTCCCTGGTATTTCAGCCATGGGTCTTGCGATGTACGAGAGGCAGGTTGCTTTGGCTAGGATGACTGGTATGCAGACTCTCATGCAACACCAGGGACAGCGAATTGGCGTTGCTAGTCAGGTTCTGTATGATGGTGGCATTGCTTCCCCGCAGCCACCGGTATACTACTAGTTGTTGATTCAATAAAAACTTGTAAACACCTGTTGTTGTTAGTTCTCTGTGCTATTTTAAGTGATAGAATCCTCCTCTCTTTTTTTTTTATCTATTGTTAGTTTTCTTTAGCTTCCTTTAATACCATCAGACAGAATGTATTGGATATGTAGTCTGTATTCTGTTTGAGAATGAAAGTTATAATATCTCTTTGGAAATACAATCACTTCATTGGATTATCAGTTTCTTTTTTTCAAAAAAATTATTCTTTTTTACTCGCTCGGTATTCGATATTACATAAGTAGTATGTATTCATGTATATAAGATATATAATTATTTCATTGAAGATGTATATACATTGTTATGCAATATTTATACATTGTATCATTTTAGATTTTTTTGATATATTTTTCACTTGAAATCAGTTTGATTTTCATGTAGTCATTTAATTGGTTTTCACCAACATTCATTATTGGAGTCAATTATACACATATTTCAAAAAAAAAAAAAATACACATAACATTGGGATGATTTATTGTTTCGTGAAACATAAATTCCAAAACAATGATGTCCATCTTCAGAAATAATGAGTATCATTTAACAAGTTGTTACTTATGTGCCCTTAGAATTTGAGCTCAAATATAGAGGGTCGCATATGTTTCAGAAATTTCATGGGTTAATATACTAGAAAAATTGAGATAATTTCAAATTACTGTTTTGTGATACATTAACTCTACAAAAATCAATATTTGTCTTTTGGAAATAATGAGTATCATTTAATAGAATAGTCACCAATGTATCCATAAAATTTGTGTTCAAATAGAGTCGGCCAGACAAATTCTAAAAAATTCATAAATTAATATACACAAAAAATTAAAATTATCCTGATGTCCTGTTTCATGAAGCATAAACCATAAAAAAAAGTGACACCACCTTTTGAGAATAATGAGTATCATATAATAGGTTGTCCACCAATGGACCCACGTAATTTGATCTCAAATAGAGTCGATCACACATACTTAAAAAAAATTTATAAATTATGACACATGAAAAATAAAGATAATCCTGATATTATGTTTTGCAACCTATAAACTCCAAAAAAAGATGTATACCTTTTGAAAATAATGAACATCATTCCATAGCTCGTCACTAATGAACCACACAATTTGAGCTCAAAGTTGGTCACATACATTCAAAAAATTCATGAATAATATAACATACACAAAAATTTAAGATAATTATGAATTCACGTTTTGTAACACAAACTTCAAAATTAGTGATCTACATATTTCAAACATAATTAATATAGACTAATACACACAGAAAATCGAGATAATATCGATTTCCTAATTCGTAATTTATCAACTCCAAAAAAGTAATGTTTGTCTTTCGAAAAGAACGAGTATCATTTAGTAGATCGTCTCCAACGGATCCATAAAATTTAAGCTGAAGAAAAAAGTTAATGATACATATTTCAGAAAATTCATAAATTAATACATAAGAAAAAGTGAGACTAAGTTGATTTTCTGTTTAATGATGCATAAACTCCAAAAAAAAATGTAATGACATCCCTCTTTCAATTTGAAAATAATGTGTATAATTTAATTTCTTATCACCAATAAATCTACAAAACTTGAGCTCAAATAGAATCACTCACTCATATTCCAAAAAAAAAGTTAATAACTAAGAATTAACAAAATAAAAAATTGAGATAATTCAATATTTTTTCATATTCAATTTTACTTTTATTGCTCTATAATAAAATATAAAATAATAGAGGTGTTGACTAGCTTAGGGTTAGCCTGCTTAGCCGGTTAACATATTGAGTTTTCTAATTTATTGCTATTGCCTTTTCTCGTAGAATTTTCAAACTGAAAAAATAGTAAGCATACACCTAATCGTCCATGAAAAGTAAGAAAGTCCGCATATTAACTAATTCAAGTTGAAAAATGGGATTGCTCCCTCGTCCACCCATAATTGCTATGTACAGAGTTAATGATAAAATATAATATGTTTATTTTTTATTTTTTTCGTGAGCCATTTAAAACTTCGAAATTAGAAAAAAACCAAAAATTGTTCAATACAATTCCCCATAATCTGATCAAATTATTCATATACGCGCTATCCTTTTGTCCCAACTTTGCTCGGTTTTATAGAATTTGTCTAATCTATTACCTTCCTTCACATGTTGCCTGGTTCTAAGTTCTATCTCATTGTCGTTACTTTGCCTGGTTCTAAGTTCTATCTCATTGTCGTTACACAACTAGAAAATGAGTTTTATTTGAGTGTTTTCATTTGTTCATTGTATGCTCAATTTCAATTTAATGACAAGTAATAAATCTTTAAAATATTCCCAAAAATTTCACAATAAAGATGACATAAAAAACCTAATATAATGTTCAAGATCGTCTCTGTTTTATTTATTTTTTCATTTTTGCGTGAGTATAAACTTTACTATCCTATTAAGCCTATCCAACACGACTTTACATTAATTAAACCACTTTAAATACCAAAAACTAAAAATTAGCACAATTGTTCTATTACTTTAGAAGGGTATCAAATGTTTCAACTCTCTACGTTCGTTCAATCCTTATATTATATTATATAATATTATGTTATGTTATATTATGTTATGTTATGTTATGTTATATTTTTTTATTTTAATTTATGTGATACATTTCTAAATTCAAGCAAGTTTATTTTTAGTCGTAAAGTTTTCATTTATCTTTTAAATATTTTAAATCGTTAATTATTGTCATTTGTAGTACTTTTTACTAGTTTACAAATATATAAATTTCATTTTTAAAAAATTTAAAGATTTATACGCAAATCATTTATTAAACTTAAATTGTTTAACTTTTAAAAAACGAAAAATATCACATTATTTAAACATGTATTATATTATATTATATTAATTAATAGAAGACTTGGGAGTAAGGTGGGAACAAAACGTGACTATTATAGTGTCTTCTTTGCAAAAGATATATTTTATTTCAAAGTTATTTCTAAATAAATAAATAAATAAATAATATTATTATTATTAATAATAATAATAATAAATATTACTACTTTCTTGGAAACAAGTAAGTCCACCCCTTACCTAATATTTGTCTGCCCACTTGGCTATGTCTTTCTTTTATCACCACGTTTTTAAATATAGGCATACTTATAATTCTTCATTATTCGGTCTGTATTGACTCGATTAATTCAGATATGAATAATATATATTTAAAAATCTTTCCTTTAATATATAATGTGCTAATTATTATTTTTTGTCCCTCTTTTTTCTCAAAGTTTAGTGTTTATCGAAAATGTTAGAGGTATTATACCTTTTTTAAGCCTTATTTATAGATATATATTGAATATTGTTGTTATTATTATTGATTAAATTCGAAATTTTAGTTAAAGATAAAAGAATTGTGTTTATTTATTATTTTTCTTTTTAAAAAATAGTTTTTGTCTGTGTTTTATTATTCAAAACCGTGTGGTGGCTAAGACGGTGGATTTTAATCTTCTTTTCTATTTATTCTTTTCTTTAGAGTGGGGGTTAATAGTGGACCTTTTAATTATTAAATTAAAAAAATGAGGCAAAAATCATGTTTGTGGATTTTTTCTTCTTTTTTTTTAGTGGTTTTGGGTGGTGGTGGTAGGGCAGAAGGTTTGGAGATTGCGGATAAGGGTAAAAAGTTAGTAGATAGTTATTACGTGTTTTTATTTCTAGAATGTTCCAGTTTTAGGATGGACGTAGCTTCTTATCGGTCGTTGTATTAGCATTTTCTTGTAGTCATTGATGTTGTTTCTGACTAACATAGTTTAATGTATTAAGGTCCTTATTGTTGATATTATGATTACTTTATTATAAGTTGTCACGTTCTTTCTTTTAATTACTGTTTTGTTTTGCTTAAGTAGAGAGTCTTTGGAAAACAATCTTTCAAAGGTATGCATACATTCTACCCTTTCTAGACTTCACTTTATGAGATTTCGATGACATTGTTGTTGTTGTTAGGGGTTATGGTGGTAAGGGGTCGACAACAATGAAATTTATAATAAGAGAAAATTCATCAAGCTTGAAAGGAATGGACGGGGTAGGCTTAATAGTGAACGCAGAACTCCCTCCTTATAGATATGAGATCAATAATTTAAATAAAAGAAAGATGTCCGGAGAGAAAATCTTAGGCCTTAAAATAAAAACGATATGACTTATGATACTGAATCCAAATAGAATAGAAATATACATACACTTCTAGATGACTGAATAACCAAAAGAGATGTTGATATAATATGAGGTCTCCCTCTCCAGCGGGACTAAAAAAGGTTGTATTGAAATTTCGCTCGACTTTTAAAATCGTGAGGGGGGGGGGGGTGAATGTAAGAATGTGAAAGGAAAGATTTGGTCAAAGTTGAGGGGAGATAAATATGTTTTATGGTCACATTACAAATGTTCTTTAGTTAAATGGCCTTTTCAATTGAATTAAAAAAAAAATTAAAATAAGAAATTGCTAAGTAAAATATACGTTATTATAGAGTTTGAATCTAAAATTTCAATCTATCTCTTGCCACTCAATACTATCGTTGATGTAAATCATAAGGAATCTTGATTTCGTATCAAGTCAGGACGTCATTTCATTTTCCTAATTATAACGTGTGGATTTAATTGAACGAAGAAAAGCCACCAATTTATAACTTTAATTAGGTATTGTAAACATTATTAGAGTTTGGCCAAGAAGAGCAAAGCAACATGTGCAAAATTTTCTGAAAATTCTGTATTTGGTCAAATTATTGGATGGCCAACAATATGGTCATATACCAAATCAATTATACATTATTAACATATCATGTGAAACACATATCAAAATTATAAATCATAATATAAAATTTCTAGCAGGCATCTTTGACCTTACCCTACTTATAGGTGTACCTTGTTGATTATAATTTCATTCACATTTTTTAGTTTATATACTTTTTTTGTATATGCATTTCGTTTTTAATAACTGTGATGTCTAGATCAGTCAATCGCATAACTGACTATTTTACCGTATACCAAATAACTTTGCACATTAAGATTAGACAAATCACCTAACAACTTGTATTCTTTTCATCGAACTCTAATCTCGTATGATTTTTGAACCTACGATTTTGAGTCTATATTGCTCGAAATTTATATTCGTTTCAGATCCTCCAAAGTATATTACTACTAGAGGATTCACATGAGCCAATTTACATTTTTGAAGAATTCAAACTCATCTCATAAATTCAAATCTTGGAAATGATATCAATTTATTGTTTTATTTCAAGAAAAAAGCCCTAGAGCCATACAAGAAAATCTCAACACAAAAAAAATAGAAAGACAAAAGTAACTTGCCTTAAGACACTATAAACAAAATCAATGAACCTTAATGAATTTAAATAATATTACATATATATATATAAATATAATAAAGTACTTAATAACAAACATAGTCTTGATTACAAAAAAAAAATGTTAAAAATAGTATTTCATAGTTAGATCAAAGTGGCTTCAATCAATCTCGAAACCAACTAAAAAAAACCAAAAACTTGGTTATCTAATAGTAGTATATCAAAGCAATAGGCCTATAATCATCAGGGCAGTCTGGTGTACTAAGCTCTCTGTGACAGTCCTTTTGCTTTCCACAGCTCGAACCTGTTACCTCCTGGTCCACATAACACTAACTTTTACCAGTTACGTCACACCAAGACTTCCCTTCTTCAATAATCAAAAATGAAAACAAAACAAAAAAAAACAAGAATAGTAACTAGAAATATTGCTCAGTTTTAACAAATTGAGCACCTAATCCCAACCATGCTTTGTTATCCTCATTCTTGGATTTCTTGTTGTTGGAGATTTGGTATGGTGCAATTGATGTTACTCTATCTTTCCTTTTCTCCAAGAATCTTGTAAGTGAATTCCGTCTCGCGATTGGTAAATCAGCAACAGAAGGCTGTGGCATTGACAGTTTAGGAAGTTCTTGAATCAATTTGTTACCAAAACTCACACCAGATTGATCAGCTGTTTTTTGATTCTTGATCATAGGATAAGTGAAATTGTTTGTGGGGTTCTGTTTGTTGGCTAACTTCATGATTTCATTTGCTTTATCAGCTGGAAAATCATCAAAAACAATGACTTGTCCACCATAAAAAATGGTCATTTGTGCCTTCTCTGGTTGATCAGGTTTCCAAGATTCTGTCTTTTTTGTGGATTGTTCTTTGGAGAAATCAAATTCTTGAGGGAAAAGATTCATGGGTTTTTGAGGATTTGTTTCAACGGACGACGATGACGACGATGAATCACTTGATTTCTCAATCATTGGTAACAAATTCATAGTAGTTGTGGTGGTAGTAGCTGTTTGTTGAGATCCTGTTTTCAAGAAACATGGAAAGTTCAATCAGTTTCATAAACCAAAACACAAAAAATTACAATCTTTGTAACCAGAAACATAAAGAACATAGCAGAATTAGAATTTCGAGTTTATGAGGATTTTCGAGATTTGTGTTTTAAAGTTTTTAAGTTTAGATCAAAGCTATTGAGCTGTGTCGAACTTGTAGACAAACTAGTAGCTCTTTGGATTTAGAAACATGAAAAACTACTTCTAAAAACCAAAAAGGGAGAGGCGGAGTTAGGATTTCGATTTTATGAGTTATGAAGTTCAGAAAAGATAGTTTAATGTTCTATTAATTAGTACTATTTACATATTAAGTAAAAAAATTAAACACAAATAAAAAGTTTTAACCAAAATTATTGAGTTATGTCGAACTTGTTAATAGACTTGTGACACATCTTTGCAACAAAAACATAGATTTTGAAATTTAATCGTCAAATATCTACTTGATTATGAAATATTATCAGATCTTCGAATATTTTCAAGTTTCCAAAAACTAATCCCGGACTTTCTTCTTTCTCTCACAACACTTCAATTAGTTTCAAGTAAAACACGCATCCAAACAAAACTTCAAAAACTCAAAAGTTTCAACTTCAAAATCTACGACCAAACCTACTCTAAGTCATTGCAACCAAAAATACAACAACAATATACCCAGTGAAATCTCGCTAGGTGCTATAGGAAGAATAGATTATACACAGATCTTAACAGACAGAGAGGTTGTTTTCGAACAATAAATACTTCAAAGAAAACCCAAAAGCTACAATCTTTGCAACCATAAACATGAAAAAATCCTTTCAAAAATCCCAAAAGCTACAATCTTTGCAACAACAAACATGAACATATACTCCCCAAAACCAAAAAAGCTACAATCTTGCAACCAGAAACATGAACAAATCCTTTCAACAACCAAAAACAGTTTTTCTCGTCTCAATTTACGTGACACCGTTCGTTTTCTAAAAGCCAAATAGTTTAAGTTTGACCGAGAACTTATGCCCGGAATCTATAGAGTTTTTAAAATGAAATTTATAAAGTTTACTATAACTCAAAATAATTAAAAGATATATGAAAACTTTACGGTCAAACATACGCTTATTCAAATCTCGAAACTCGAAAAGTTTCACAAAACCAACCAGAGTACTATCTTTGCAACAAGAAACATGAATACATACTCCCAAAACCAATAAAGCTTCAATCTTTACAACCAAAAACATTATAATAGCAAATAATGATTCATAAAAACATAAATAAAGTTCAAAAAAAAATTTAAAAAAGAACATACCAGTTGATTCAAAAGTAGTTTTGTAGATACCAAGATTATTAAGATCTCCAACAGAACCTTTTTTCTTCAAGAATTGACTCAAAAGGTTACAAGTCTGAGAAAACTGAGATTTCTGTCCGGTCACCTTGCCGGAATCCATATTTTCCGATGACCCCATCTTGTTTTTCCGGCCAAAAAAATGAAATATTTGAGAAAGTTGAAATATCAAGAAATGCTTTTTTGTGAACTGTTTGGATGAATAATTTTTTGTTTTGAGTATAATGTGTATATATAAGGGGTTGGGGTGGTGGGGTATGGCTTTTTTTTTTTAATAATTTTTTTTATATAATTATTAATGAGAAACACATGTTTGTTTGAATTAGTTTTGTGTTTGATTTTGAAAAGGAAATGAAATAATTAAATGACAAAAGAAAAAGAACAAAAAAAGTAAAAAGACATATTTCAAACACGTTTTGTATTATTTTCTTGGGAAAAACAAAAGAAAACACTGTATATTGCGTGTTCCTTGGTTACCTTGTATTTTACTAAATTGCCCTTATTCTTCTTTATATTTACTATATTTGCCCTTTCGCGGGTCCGAGAAGGGAAAACGAGAGAGGAGATTTGAAGTTGGGATATCGAATATTTATCAACAAGACGTTGATAATACGATTAATATTTTAAATCTTTTAACGAAATGATTATATATTTTAGCAGATATAGATGTTGAGATTGAATCATATCGTCGCTCATATAAAAAAAATATTTTTACATGTTTGATTATAAAGAAGAATAAATTTTGTTCAAATTTTTTTTGTAGATAAAATAGTCAAGCGTTTTAATATTATATAAAATTTAAATAATCAATGATTGAGCTAATAAGATTCCACTCTTTTTTTTTTTCAACTTTCCCCTAGTTTCTTTTTTCTTTCATACCTCTTTCTTTCATTTAATATCGAATTAAATAAAAAAAATTATCACTACACTTATACTTAATTTTGATTGATATTTTGTGGTTAACACTTATTTAAAAGTGTGATAGTGGTAACTTCTAGGAAAGAAATACTCTAAAAATTAAAACAATATTTAGGACGCAACACATTTATAGTTGGATCACTAAAGTTAATCAAGAAGAATCAAAATTGGTTAATGACTAATTACTATAAATTGAATGATTATTGATTGAATATTTAACTCTTCGATAACTTTCTTTTATTTAAGTATGTTTAAACTTAAATATAAAAATATTATTTATATTAATCAGATGGTGAATTTTGTGAGATTCCATCAGAAAATTCTAATTCAATAAGAATTCTCAGGACTATTTTAATTTACCTAAACCCTACCTCTCTTGAATATGCATAAAAAAGTCTATAAATTCATAAAATATTGATCACAAAAATCGTATAAAAAATGGTATTTAAGTGATAATAGATAAATTGCTACTAAATGTATTTTTTAGGAGATAATTAACATTCTTCATAAATGTCGCTAATGTCTATAACGATATTAAAATTCAAAGATAAGTAATTAATATTAATAAAGACGCGTGCGACGCTAGCACGCTTTGTTAATATATATTTATTGTTGCTAAAAATTATTTTGTGTAAGTAAAATGTAATCAAACTTTTCTTGATAAAATCTGAAGAAATCCTTTTACGAAGAATAAATAATCTCAATAATATTCCCATTATTCTCGTTTGAAAAATACGTTATCCTCGAATTACGTAAAAATATTACAAGAGAAGAATTAAGAGATAGATAGATTTATATCCACATATAGTAAAGTTAAAAAAAGGTAAATTCATGTGGCCTCCATCAATGTATTTAAAATCTAACACCATTAATGTTGTACCATTTTACTCGTGACATATTAAATAGTGGCTAGTACATAAAGGGCCATTAAAGTTGTAGTACCATTTATTTAAAATTTAACACCATTTTACTCGTGATATATTTTGAGATCGAAAAAGTATTTATCATCATTAGTTATTTATATTAATTTAATGTAATTTCTTGTATTTAAATAATTTGATAGAGTGAATATATACATTAACTTATCATGTTTAAATGATGTTATTGTATATTCATATTAACGATTATACATTTATTATTATCATCATTAGTTATTTATATTAATTTAATGTAATTTCTTGTATTTAAATAATTTAATAGAGTGAATATATACATTAATTTATCATGTTTAAATGATGTTATTGTATATTCATATTAATGATTATACATTTATTGATTTGAAATAAATATTATATCGGTAAGGTGATACTATACCAAAGGGAAAGGAATAGTGTTTTGTCTTCGATATGCTAAAGTGAACAAATAAAACAAAAATTTACTTGTGAGTTAAAACAATGAAAAATTACATCGGATCAATTTTTTTTCGAGTTTCACATATTAACTATCTGTTATTCTTTTTTTTCTTATCGAAACTATTATCATATATGAATTAAAACAAGCCTCGAAATTTATTAGTCGATAGCTGAAATGTGAAATTCATTAATAAGTAATAGTTCAAATATCTTTTTTATCATGATCTTTTTATTTGTAATACCAGATAAATAAAAATAAACGAAGAAAAAAAAATTATAAATGGATTAATATGTAATAACCTATCTCTATGATATTATCAAAGTACGTAAAAATGATTAATTTGGATCGTTTACTTATTCAACATAAAAAATAAACAAAATTAACACTAGAAAAGTCAAGTTTTTTTTTCCTAGAATTTCATTTTATCCAATAACGTGTTTGACATAAAATTGGAACTATATAAAATTTTTTTTGAGAAACAAAAATAGTACAAAAAATATTTTAATTAAATGGAAATTCCGCAGAATATGACTTATTTGAGTTCATGGTCCCAACTTAGTTGACTCTAAAATATTTTTATAAATAATAATTATTGACTCCAAATTCTTTTTTTGAGTGCTTGAATTATTTTATTATAAGAAATAATTAGTAATAACGTGTTGTTGATTTGGTCTAATATATTCTCGAATTTTTCTTATTTTTTTCCACTTATGATTTAAATAATATATAAGTCCTTCACCTAAAAGCTATAGTCTATAGCCTATATATTAATTGTGATTTATTAAATAATGTTTTTTAATTAAGCTTAGCATATAATCTTTACTTCACTCTAGCACACCACTAATAATATCAATAATATTAAATTGTCATGTTCTTACGAGTTTTATATCATAATTTTCAATTATATATTTTTTAATTTGAACAAGTGTTTTTTCATATTAAAAACACATCTACTTTAAATAAATGATAATAGTTAAGATATGAAGAGGAAATAATAGATAGATATTAATATATTTAGTTAAACTTCGATATGTGTTTTAATACATAGATGATAGTTTAGGTAAGAAAATGAAATATTATAATAGTTCATGCGAGAAAAGAAACAATTTTTATAATAAATACGAGAAACTCACAAAAAAATAATACTTTAAACGTGTTTTTAATCATTAGGTCGAATAATCATGATAATAGTTTTATATTGTTAATTTATATTATCATTAAAATAATTATTTTTTTTAGGAGTCAAATATGAACAATCGCAATCAGTAATAAGCAAATGAAACACAACAAAGCCTACGTATTAAGGCAATTACGTTTATGAATTCTTATTATGATCTCAAGTCAATATACATATTTAGTAAATATCTTAATGTATATATAAATGTTATTTAATTTTCATAAATTCGTGTATTAATTATACACACATTTCTAGAGAATGCTCTTTTAATTGACTATTTTTACTTTTAAAAATTTAAACTCAAAACTAAACTTCTAATTAAATATGAAAAAACTTCGACTATTCTATCATAATACATGTCCACGTAATATTTATTATTTTCAAACAAGAATAAATGAGTTTGTACATGTTTGAAATAATTCAAGAGAAAAAAAAAAGTGGACACAAAATAGGACAATGAATTATAAATATCTAAAAAAAAAAGAAAAAGAGAATTATATAATAATAAATATAGTGCTAACACATGTTGCACGAGGCATTCAGTACATATGAGTCGCCGAGGATCGCGGTGAACGGAATAAGATTATGTTATTTTTACTTAAATATATTAAGTTTATATTGTAAATATAACGATAATAACATATCTCACAAGATTTTATAACTGAAGTCTGAAGAAATAAAAAAATATTTTTAAAAATATCAAATATTAAATATTATATAAAACAATATAAATATCGAACACGAAAAGAAAATGGAATCTAGATAGAGTTGTACACTTGGTGATGTTTCGAGGAAACATCTTCAAACAATGACCTTTCAACTTATTCCTTTCTACTTTTTTTTCAAAAATATAACAAAAGTATAATTTTTAATATATATTTTTTGATTTTGTGATATTTAACTATAAATATTAATTAAAAAACTTACTTTGAGTTATTGATCTATAATTAAAAAAAATCTTATAAAGTAGATAATGTAAAATATATTCTCAGTGTAAATCCTAGTTATCGTTATATTAAGATGGAAAATCTTGTTTACGATATTTATAAGTGAACTCGATGAAATTCATATTCCATCTTTAGACATAAATTTTAAATATAAATTTTGGAAATGAATAAGCTCTTTAGTTATAGATTCTTTTATTCAACACGAATCTAAAATTGATACGAAAACAAATTCTACTACTAATATCTAATTGAAAGTAGTTAAATTATGTTAAAAAATACTCCAATGTTTTAATTTATTGTTGCAAAAGTAATGCTTAAAGAATCTAGATTGTTGAGTAAAATTTTTAATCTATTTTTTTTAAAATTATGATTATTATAATATCTTTAATATATTCTTTTTTATAGGGAAGAAGACAAATTTTTTAACCACCACATTTATCTTAATGGAGTTAAACAATTTCCAAGCACTTTCCTATATTTGAAAATTGTGCAAAAGTGTAACTTCCTGGAAAAAGAGAAGATTAAAAAAAAAAACAATTATATGTAAAATCTTCTTTCCTACTAATAATATTATTTTATTAAAATTTAAATTAATTGATTTTATAAAAATTTAAAAGTCATGTTTATCGATAAGGATTCGATTTATATATTCTTGAGTATTCTTCTTTCTTTGTGAATATTTTTTTTTATTTTCGTCAAATATTTGATAAAAAATAATTTAACGAA